CATGAAACAGATCAGCAGCAACATGAAACAGATCAGCAGCAACATGATATGGTTTTTCACAGTGATTATTCTAGTTAGAGATTCATGAGTCTAACAGCCTCAGGGTAGAAGCTGTTCCTCAGTCTAGTGGTTCTACACTTAATACTCCTCAACCTCCTTCCTGAGGGGAGTGGGGCAAAAAGTGTGTGTGCTGGGTGAGTGGGGTCCTTCATGATGCAGGTGGCCCTCTTCCTGCATCTGGAGGTGTAAATGTCTGTGATGGTGGGGAGACTGACTCCAACAGTCTTCTGTGCAGCCTTCACCACTCTCTGCAAAGCTTTTCTTTCTGCAGCTGTGCAGCCTCCATGCCACACATTGATGTTGGAGCACAGGATGCTCTCCACTGCACACCTGTAGAAGGAGGTGAGGACTGAGCTTCCCAGACCAGCTCGCCTCAGCCGTCTGAGGAAGTAGAGTCTCTGATGAGCTTTCTTGATCAGGCTGGTGGTGTTGTTGCTCCAGCTGAGGTTGTCATTCAGGTGTACACCCAAGTACTTGTAGCTGGAGACCACTTCCACCGCAGATCCTCTTATGTTCAGGGAGGTGTAGATGTTTTTGTTCCTTCTGAAGTCCACAATCATCTCCTTTGTCTTCTTCACATTGATGTGAAGGTTATTCTCTTTCCACCAGCTCTCCATGTGTTCCACCTCTTGCCTGTAGCTGGACTCATCATTGTTTGTGATGCATCCCACCACCACTGTATCATCTGCAAACTTTACAATGTGACAGCCTGGATGGGTAGCTGCACAATCATACGTGAGCAGAGTAAACAGGAGGGGGCTCAACACACATCCCTGAGGAGAGCCAGTGCTGAGGGTTATGGTGGAGGAGGAGAGGTTGTGGATCTTCACTAACTGTGGTCTGTTTGTTAAGAAGTATAGGACCCAGTTGCAAATGGAGGGGCTTAGTCCTAGTGTGGATAGTTTGTCCATCAGGGTTTGGGGGATCATGGTGTTGAAGGCGGATGTGAACTCCACAAAGAGCATACGGATGTAAGAGTTTTTCTGCTCCAGGTGGTTGAGCACAGTGTGGACCACAGAGGAGATTGCATCCTCTGTTGATCGGTTCTCACGGTATGCATACTGATGAGGGTCCTCGTTGATGTTGATGGTTGTTTTGATGTGAGTCATGACCAGTTTTTCGAAGCATTTAGCGACTATCGGGGTGAGGGCCACTGGTGGATTGATTCATTCAACCTTTATTTAGACAGGTTAATCCCATTGAGCCTCGGGGACTCATTTACAAGAGAGACCTGATTACAACAAAGAATTATGACAATAATAGACAATCATAAAAGAAGCACACAAAATTTAATACAAAAAAACCCCAAATCAAACCGAAATGGCAACCAAAAGGAAAAGTAGCGAAAAAAACAACAAAATCTGTATTAAAGCAATGTAGAAAACTAAAAACAGGAACATGTCAGCATTGGTCCCTGCCAGGTGTCCAACAGATTCTTAAAGACACTTAGAGAGGTCAAGGTCGAGAGCTTCAAATCTTTTTGTAAGATATTCCAGGAAACAGGAGCGGAGTAGGAGAAGGTCCTTTTGTCTAGTTCAGTCCTCACTGAGGGAACACTGCAGGTAATGATGTCCTGAGAGTGCACGCTGTAGCTGCACTCACACAGAGACATGTAGGAGGAGATGTATGAAGGCAGCAGACCAAGAAGTGATTTAAAGATGAAAATGTACCAGTGAGAGAGTCTGCGTGAAGTTAATGATGTCCAGTTAACCAGTGAATACAGGGTGCAGTGGTGGGTACGATAATCACAGCCAGTTATGAATCTTAGTGCACCATGATAGACAGCATCCAACATCTGCAGCATCCAACATCTGCAGCATCCAACATCTGCAGGGTTCTTGTAGGAGCGTTCATGTAAATAATGTCACCGTAATCAATGGAGGGAAGGAAAGTCACAGATACAAGGCGTTTTCTAGCATTCAGGGTTAGACAGGATTTGTTTCTGAAAAATAAACCCAGTTTAACTTTCAGTTTCTTTACCAAGTTTTCCACATGGAGCTTAAAAGAAAGATGTGAGTCGACCAAGATACCCAAATATTTATAGGAATCAACAAACTCAATGGGGACACCATTTGAGGATGAGATCAGAGGAGGAACTGCTGGGACCGACTTCCTGTTTGAAAAAAGCATCCCTTTGGTTTTGTCGACATTTAGGACAAGTTTGAGGTGGAACAAATCTGTCTGGATGATGTTGAATGCAGATTTCACAAACTGGGAAGCCTTAGCAACAGTTTTTTCTGCTGTTTTGACCAATAGTGATCCAGACCAGTCACTGTAGAGCTCTTTGGGACTGGGATGATAGTGGCGGTCTTCAGGCAGGTGGGAAGTGTTGCCAGGTAAGCGAGGAGTTAAAGATGTCAGCACGTCGCAGAGCTGTTCGGCACAGTCTTTCTGTCTTCCCGGGGATGTTGTCTGGGCTGGTTGCTTTGTGAGGATGAATCCTCCTGAAGGTAGAAACAGGTAGAGTAGAGTAAGTAAAGACAGCAGTGTGAGGAAATGTGGCCAGCTTGTAGCAGCATAACCAAGGGATAGCTCAGGAAACCCAAGCCAAACTTTACTATAGGATATATATCAAAAAGGAAAGTCTAAAGCCTAGTCTTAAAAGTAAACAATGTGTCAGCCTCATGGACAGAAACTGGAAGTTGGTTCCACAAGAGAGGAACCTGAGAACTGGAAGATCTTCCTCATTCTGCTGCTGGAAACTCTAGGAACCACAAGTAAACCTGCAGCCTGAGAGTGAAGTGCTCTGTTAGGAAAATAACTAGAATAAAACTACACAGACGTTTATTCACACTCTGTCCTAGAGTTACTGGTTAACCTAACATACATGTTTTAGTCTGTGGGAGGAGACGAGCACCAGGAGAAAATCCATGCACGCACAGATCTGATCTGTTATGTGTTCAGGCATGCTCATCTTCTCACACAGACTCATGCTCGTGCTGCTGTTGTTCAGTGTAATGTTTTTATGCTGTTAGTGCTTAATGTATATTTAGTTTATATTTTTCTTAGTTCATATCTTATCATTGTTTATCTTTTACATTTTATTGTTGATGTAACTGGGACCCTGTGGACATAATCTCGTTCCACCACATGTACCACATGAGGTGCAAATGACAAATAAAGAACCTTGAATCCTTGAGAACATGGAAACTCCACTCAAGATCTGAGGCGAGAGGTGACGCTGTGACCTTCTTAAGCCCCCAGTATACTGCCGCATACGTCCGTTCACGCGTACGTATGCGTGTATGTACGCAGAGGGTTCAGACTTCATACTCCAGCGTACACCCTGAGCAGCTGCATAGCAGCTTCACAGACAAGGGGCGTTTACCTTCGGGACAAATTGAGGTCGCCGATTGGTCATTTGCTGACACGCCTACTGGATTGATTGACAGGTCGGGACAATTAAAAGCGAGCGCTGGCAGCCTCAGCTGCAGCGCTTTTCTGTGTTTATATGTTGTTAATAAAAAGATCTAAAAAAACAAAAACGGGGAGCGCTGGCCCTGCAGCCCACACATCAGACCACCAGGAAATCTCCAGACCCTCCCGCAGCCATGCTGGACCTGAGTTTAATTCACTCGTGACAAATTCCTTCATTTCTCACCGTTTCAGTCATGGCATCAACGGAGGAGGAAGAGATCACTGCCTCTTGGCAAAAAAACAAAAGAAAAGTCCAGATCAGAGATGAAGAAGGGGAATTTAATACATTGGTGTCGCATACAAAACAGTCTGTCGCTGGGTAGTTTATTGTGCGACACTGCATGTATGCGGTCATAAAAATTGAGCTTTGCATGGACATGCCCTGGGGGGTACGCTCGTACCTCCGCGTACGTACGTGCGTACCTCTGCGTATGGACGTACACGGGAGTATACTGGGGTACTGAGTGTGAAGCGACAACCACCCGCTGCATCTCTGTGTGCACAGTGCAACAAGTGAACAGCTTCATCCTCAGAGTTCTGCAGGAACTTCTTACAACCACAC